CATGTTATATGCATTTATGAACAAATATGCAATAACCCGAAATATGCAATATAAAATTTGGAGTTTAAATTCGGTGTGATATGATCCGTGGACATTTTAAACCCCCATAGACGTGCAACAACTTAGTACAAACATGCAAATGCATATAAATCCGGGCTCTAGTTATGATGTTTCGTTATTGAAAATTTAATAATTAGATATCTAGTCAGTTCCTTTATTTTGTAATCAATTAACATTATCTGTAATAAGTAATAACCATAACCATAAACATGTCGTTTTCACGAATCTATAACCATTATTAACCAATATCATATTACCATAACTGATAATGAATATAACAGGGTTAATCGCCAAAACACCTATAGATATGTTTAGAAATATAAATTGTTTGGTTATTATTACGGTTTAAGATATACCTTAATAATACCTTTATAATCTATGATCATGGTCACAAGCATCTTTTATAGGAAAAAAGTTGATATTTTTTTGTTTTTATTATTTATGCGTGTAATTATTAAGGAGAAATAGTAAAATTAAAAATTATCAGAAGAAAAAAAAATAAATATACTAATATTTTTTTCAAATTAACTAATCTAAATTTTACCTCTCATTTAGAACTTTAAAAGAAAATGTTTGAATAATTTTGATAACCCAACTCTTTTAACCACCCTCAAATATATTTTTTAGGGGTTGAATATATTTTTAACTTATTCTCCATTTAGTTATCAAGAGAAAGGTTTTACTTGTACATTGAGTTACACTTGATATGACTTCAAATAAAATTATTTATACAATTTTATAGTTCGGGACTAGTGTTCTTTCACTGTAAACTATAAAATATATAGATTGTAGGTACATAACTAAGTATACATAGTAGAGTTAATATAAACTGAAAATAAATAATTAAATAACAAATAAAAAAAATATCTATAATAACTATAAAATAATAACTTAACACTTATTATGGAATAAATACTAGTATGAAGAAAAATAAAGGTGCAATATTGAAAAATTTAGAATTTTTTTTCATCAAAATTATTCGAAAATTTACTTTTAAAGTTCTAAACGAGAGATAAATTTAGATTATTTAAATTAAGAAAAAAATTAGTATAATTATTTTTTTCTTCTGATAATTTTTGACTGTAGGATCTCTCTAAAAATTATTAATTACACACATAAAAATGAAAAAAAAATCAATTTTTTTCAGAAAAATGATGCTTGCAAACAAATGTGAAAAAAATTATTAAGCTCTAAGGAACACAATATCACGAGAAGAAGTCAATTTGATAAATAAAAATTCTAAAACATTCTAGTTTACAATATAAAACATATATCTTAAATCATGGTGTACCACCTGGTTTCATATAATTTGTGATAATAATATATCAAGATGGATATATGTTACTATAACATTTTTGTTTTTTTTCCCAGATAAATATTCGAAAATATGTGATCCTAATGCCTAGACATTTTCATGAAAGCAATTAACTATAAGAAACTATGATGAAAGTATGAACAGTGAACCATTAATATACCACACAACAAACATTATTTAAATCAAATACACTCTTAATAGTGTAACATCATATAAGCCATCATGTAATATTTTAAACACCAAAAACCTGATAGTTTTTGCAATTTCAACACAATTATATACAAACATTTAATTAATAATTAACAAACACATTTTACTTTATATAAAATATGTAATGGTTAATCAAGTATATAATATAAGGGCATTTTTATTAGAAAACACATATAATTGGTTTTTAATTATTGTTCATCACATTTTTTTTGTCTTAATATATTTATTCTAAACACAGTGAGTCGTTTAATATACAAAATTTAATAGTTACGTTAATAAATGAAAAACATAATTTTAAGCCGGGGTGACTTGAGATTTAGATTAATTTTCAGATTGGGTTATCATGATCCTAACTGTAGTTGTATTTTCATCAAAACCATAACATCATACACTCTGTAAACAAAAATAATTAATTTAAATATAAATACTTTTGAATTAGTTGTAATTTTAGTTTGTAATAATTTGTCATGTTGGTCCTTAATAATATTATTCAACAAATTCATTTTTGTTCTAGTCAGTGATTTTTTTGCACAGATATATTTTTTTTTTTTATATAGATCTAACAGTTTTTTTTATTAAGTTAAATTTCTTTTTGGCTCTTCTAGGGGCACCAAAATTATTTTCCTTTAAATCAGCAAATCTAGAAAAAGAGCACAATACTTTGTTTGGAAATCCTAAGCTGTTGGAAAATAATTTCCTATTTGAAAATAAAAAATATAACTTTTAAATAACATGTTATTCTAATGTAATATTTATTATAGTTACCTTTTAGACTGATATTGTAGCGTTACAGGTGTTTTATAACAACATGAATAATTTGTATCTTCGCTGAAACAAAATATTTTTAATGTATAATACTATCTATAGCCCACAGCAAATCAGAAATTTAAAGAAATATGTATTAAAATATATATAATTTAGATATTATAAAATATTATTACTTGGTATATTCAACTGGGGTACCCATCAAAACTAAATCTTCCATTGTTTTGAATAATGGAGATGATGGTACATTCTTGTTACTGTAATTAATATCATAATTGCTTTTAAGTTATTAGTAAAAAATAATAATGAAATATACTTTAAGTATGATAATTAGACATTTACTTCTTAAAATCATTTGGCATAGATACTGCATCGCCCAATAGTATATTTTTTAAAACACCTACCATAAAATGCTTAGAACATATTTTATTCCACTATCCCGTATTACTTAAGCCTAAGGATTCTAGCTATAAATATCGTCTTTGATCGTTCGGGAATTTTAAATTTAAAAATACAAAATAATTGAATAGCTAACAATGCACATTAAATGTTAATTCAATAAATTCTATACTTACAAATGAAAAGGCAAGACATAAGTTGTTATTATTTTTTGAAGTGGAATCGCAATATAAACATTTTAGTTAGTATTTTGTAATTTAATATAGTGGGTAAGTGTGTAACTGGTAATTACAATAGTGAAGAAAAAAAAACAAGTAATAATATTGAAATTAATTATTTTATTCAAAAATCGGCATTAATCAGATTGATAAAAATGTTGATTATCATAAACTAGTGTCTGTAATCGCATATAACCGTTATGGTAACGAGTAAACTCTTCGCTCACAGTTTACCGTGTACAATAGGTATAGGGATATCCTATCCATGTATACGAAGTGATGAATCTATCATAAGACATTTTTATTATTTCGGAAAGTATTAACTTTTTCCGGAATTTATATTCCAGAACATTTAAGAAACAAGGTGTTCAACAATTTTAAAATCAAGTTATTTTTTGTCACGCTTATTTTTAGGGGTAAAACCACTTTTGATTTTCAAATGGCAACCTGTATTAAAAATTCCATAAATCGATGGAATGTTATTTAAAATCAATTTTAGCGTTGACATTTTTTATTTCCGTCAACCCATTGATGAGACATTCCACTTTTAAGTGTGGGTGGGAAGAGAGTAGTGGAGTATCATTCGTGTAGCGATACAGCGCGCGGCGTGTTCGTAATGCACGACCACTATGCCCCAACCCATTCTGTATATTATCTATGGATGTTTCTCTGAGTGTTTATCACGAACATGTCTATTCACCAGTAAACATCTACATAACGTCAAATGTTTTACAAGGTACTACTGTCGGTAGGTACGCGTTAACTATTTATTATTAGTAAATATCAAAATTCACGGAAATGCTTTACTTCACCCTAAAGAAATACGCATAGAATGTTTTAATCGAATTTGAAATTTCTCTATGGGCTCGAGCCTAGCTCTACCTCCCTTCTATACATGCACTGCAACGCGCAATATTACTCGAGACTTCAGCGTTACAACCACAATCACTAAATTCTCTTAAACGCAATGCGTGAATGTTATCTGAAATCTTTTCAGGCATATATAGACAATCACTTATTAGATGTTACGATTGTAATGAACAGGTTATGCTACCAGTGCTGAACTCGTTACGGCGTAGTTCCATTAACTGTGGGTCGCTGCTAGTCAGACGTCAGATTTTCGTTATTTCATATTGTTATGTATTTATGACTATGGTCTATCACAGTCTGGGAATATATTAATTTAAGTTATCACTTGGAGTTCGCAGTTTTCCGTATTTTTATATACGCACATCGCTCTAGTTTACCAAGTCTTTTACGAATTTATATATATTTTTTTAGTAACCTAAGTATTTGAATGATACGAATAAATTAACCCAAACTGTTCTTTATAATCGTGTTAGATGTGAATTAATCACTGTCACATTAGGCGTGTTTTGGCGATGCAGTTTTGAGCAACCTGGTTACTAGCTTGGCAACATAGTTTACAGTAATTGTTTGATAGCTGAATGCACTTTTCGACAAATAGGTTGCAGAATTAGCAAACAATTGAAAACTATGTTTACTGTTTTCGGTCAATAATAATCTGCAGATAAGGTCCTATCATTTAATCCATTTTCTACAACAAAAAATTCTGTACAGTAAACAATGCATCAAACTATATAATGAAAGTTGCATCGTCAAAACACACTAATTGTACACGTATTAAAACATTCAATGTAATATAATATCATACAGAATATTTATCTATAATTAATAATTAGGTACATGTATTTGATTTTACATTTATGGTGAATTAGGTAATAAGTTTTTTTAATTTCGAATAAAAATAATTAGTAATAATAATATAAGCATTTCTGATACTCTTTCATTATTAAGTTTATTTGGAAGTTTTCAACATTTCTATAACACATTAATTGATACTAAGATACTAAAGATAATTAATATTTAATAAGTATTTATAGCTCATAAATTTTTTTTAAATAAACACAATTAAATGAGGTTTTAGAAAAATAGGTATTTGGATAACTGGGATTCCATAACTCCATTGTTTAAAATTTTTAACTTGAAATCCCATGTATAGAATTATAAATATAAATTATTTTACAACAAATTGTTTAAAATATTACTTATAAATTTAATTTGAAAATTGAAATACAATATCAATATGTAATAGTAATTTAGGCTACACAAATGTATTTAAAATTATTTTATATTAGATAATTCACTAGTCATAGTAATAATTGTTAAAACATGCATATTTACTTGTTAAGAAATTAAGTGTTAAAAATACAGAATATTTATATATGACATAGTTAAAAAAATTGAGGCAATTCAATTGGTTGAGGTTGCTGTTGGTGGTGGAGTTTGAGTAGGGTTGGATTTTGAAGCATGTTGTTGTTGATTGTGTTCAGATGGAGCCACTATAGGTATTGCCAAATTCACACGTCTTGGAGGAGGTTGTTTAGGTGCTTGTGGTTGATAGTATGTTGTCATGAATGAATCCTTGAATAGAAAAAGTAAATGTATGATAAGTAACTTATTGAATTTTTCAATAATTTATATTATTATGATGGACATAATGGATTTGCTATAACAGGTTATAAATATAATTATAAATACATTGAAAATATTATTAGGGATGTTCTGAGTACTCCGTCATTAAGTTCTAATTGAAGTTCACTTTAAAATTGTTTTTTCGATCATGGAGTGAAAAAATATATGGCCCTCCAATTGACCTAATGAAAAAATAATTTATACTGCATTATCTGTGGTCGAAATTATAAATTTCTTTGGCATTATTATAATATTACAAATTATTGTTGATGTGACTATTATATATTTACAGATAAGAATTTAGAAATAGACATTAAGTTCCCACATACAGCCACACTAGTAGACTGGCATCATTACCCTATATTACTTAGGCGATTAATTAGTTACTACTGGCTTAGCCTCTAGTACTTAGTAGATACTTTATTATTTGTATTATTCTTAATAAGATCATAAAGCCTCCTCCTAGACTTTGTAGATTTAAAATGAAGAGAGACTCCTTCGTCCCCTACTTTAACCACTGCAAATAAGTAAATATAGGTATACGATTTATCAAAAAACTTGCATTTAAAATATTACAATTTTAACAATATAATTATTAAATCTTCCTGGTAACTGAGTCCTAATGAATACCTACCTGGTATTTATATGAATTATTATTCAGCTACTAAGTATAAGAAGCTAATAAGTAAAAACAAGTTTGTTAATAATTAATGTACATGGAACATCTTAAATTATTATGCATTTTATAGAATGTCAACATTAACCTGATAAAATAAACAAAAACTAAATTTCAAGTAGATTAATATATAAAATAGTTTCATACAGGTGGTTGTTGTTGTATTTGTTGTGTGCCAGTAGGTGGAGATGTTACGGATGTTGGACCAGTTGGCAATGGTTGGTAAACAGCTGCCTGAGCAGCTAACATTTGCAATGCAGCTGCAGCTACTGCAGCAGCATTTTGATCTTCTGCACTGTTACCCGGGGAACCCTGAGCAACAGTTGTACCATATTGAGGTGCAGCGTATATCTGATGATGGTACATGGATGGGTCAGTTGCCATAAGTACCATTCCTGTGTTAGGATCAACTACCATGCTGTGATGTGAATTCATTTGGGTCATAGGCTGATGAAATTGTTGTAATTGCATAGGAGGTTGTTGCAATTGAATTTGTTGGATTTGTGGAGGCGGTTGTTGCATTTGTGGAGGCGGTTGTTGCATTTGTGGAGGCGGTTGTTGCATTTGTGGAGGAGGTTGTTGCATTTGTGGAGGAGGTTGTTGCATTTGTGGAGGAGGTTGTTGCATTTGTGGAGGCGGTTGTTGCATCTGTGGAGGCGGTTGTTGCATTTGTGGAGGCAGTTGTTGAAGTTGTGTTGTTTGTGATTCTTGCATTATCAAGCTGTTATTTTGTTGATGATGTGAAATTGAGGACTGCTGCTGGGTTACTTTAGACATACTACCAAAATTTAATACAGGATCAGGCAATTCTCTGCGGCTTTGAACAGAGTATCTTTTGGCACTACGTACTACAGGGGCTGTTTGTGATTCAACTTTTTGAACTTCATTTTCATCTGAAATAGAAACATAGAACATTGACATATATTAAAAACACAAATTATCATTTTAAAAATATTTAAAGTTTAGTTTCATAAATTCAAGGTTGATAGTACAAGTATAATAGTTATAATAGAATGGGAAAAATTTAAATAATTTGTAATTTTTAGATATAACATAATACAAATTGAATTTAAATTTATTAAATATATTGTATTAATTATACTTTTTAAACCATATCTATAGTCGTAAACTGGGTTTTGAACTTAACAAAGGAATAGACAAAATTAGTAATATAGAAATTATGTAATAAATAATAATTTTTTAAATAACATATTATTATAATTTATATAATAGGAAATATTTATAATTATTGAAATAATAATAAATAACTTACATTGTTGATTATTAAAATGATGATAATGCTCTTCGCTATGTTGAATGCGACCTGAACCAATGACAACAGTATTATGATGTAAATTTGGAGATTGTGTAGTTATGTCTTTAGAAAAATATCGATCTCGATTAAATTGTGGACTATTATTATGTTGTTGAAAATTACGACCTCTTATAGAAGAAGATTGAGATTGATTATGTCCATGGCCAACATGAGTATTATTATAGTGTTGTTTAAAACTATGGGGTTGGCTATGGCGACCACTTTGTTGTGGTAAATTTCGGTTGAAGTAATTAGAATTATCTGCAGTTGAAGGAGAGTCTCGAGCAACTGGTGTACCATCTCTTTCTTTACTATTATAATTATTACGGTTGAAAAAGTTTTTATTGGAAGAAGACTGTGGTAAAAATCCACTGTTTTGAGGTTCTCGTTGATTACTACGGTTTTGAGGAGAATTTGAATATTTTGTAGAAGTTCGAGTAATGTGTGTGGAATTTTTAGATGAACCAGCAGCCACAGCGATATTTTTATTTCCTTGAGAACGATCTTGAGCTATGACTTTTTGAGGTATCTCTGTTGATGTCTTCGCATGATCCAAAATGGGAAATTCCGAATCATATTCTTCAGCAGGAGTTGACTTTGGTTTGTTCTTATTATACTGACTACCAACATTACGCCGTCCAGGACCGCCACGTTTTTCACTACTAGTCCCAGTGTAAGCTTTTGTATCTTGCCAGTTTCGGTTATATTTAACAGTAGCAGTACGCCTAAAATAAAAATAGTTATAATTTGTAATAACTAGGGTTTGGATGTTTATGAAATTATATATTTTTTTATCTATCCAATTCAATGCTGATCTGAATACAAATTTGATTTGATGATCTACTGAATCGAATAATACTATTTTTATTTTGCATATTTTATGGTTTTATATTTTAAATGCACATTTCAGGATTTTAAGAATGTAAATGCATATTTTAGTATATTTCCGAACTTTATTAAAAACAATTTAAATTACAAATGAAATATAAAGCAAAAAAGCATAAAATTTGAATAAATTAAAAAAAAAACTATTGTACCTTAGATTGTAACACCTATCACATTTTAACACTTAAATTGTAAATTAATATGTAATAAAAAATAATACATGCAAATAACTAATTATACAAATCAAATCAAGGTATTGAACCTTAATTAAGGTAAAATAAATTTTGAGCGTATTTTGAACCAAAAATGCTTATTTTATTTATGATTTTTAGTGGTGCATATTTGGTAATTTTTTAATGCATAAATGCATACATATTAGTTATTTTAAGTGCATAAACATCCAAATCCTAGTAATAATGTATCATATAAAAATATTGTTGTTTTTAAATTACCCATATTTATGGTGTCGCCTAGCTCTTGGTGCTTCTATTTCTTCTCGTATGTCATATCCATATGAAGACAATAACTCATCTCGGCTTTTACGGGTTTGTTCTCGTTCATCATACATATCATGACCCCATTTATCCAATGAATCTATATTTCGAAACTTTCTTCCACCCAGTTTTCTTGACGATACATCATTGTGAGTAGTTATTGGAGTATCAAAAGAATGTTTTCTTTCAGAAGCAAATTTAGATATATTCAAAACTTTTAATGTATTTATTATGGATGTCCCCTGCGGTTCTATATTTTGAACCGCAATGTCTTCTGTGGCATCAATTGGTTGAGGATTTTTATTATCAATGTAGACTTTCCTGTTACGACGGTCACTAAAAATAATCAAAATTTTATTTTAATGAGAGAATAAAGATTAGAGTAAAAAATATTTTACAATATTTTACATACAGTGAATTATCATCATCTTCATCATCCGAAGTATCATCATACACATCACTCGATTCACAGTCTTCGGAGCTTGTCGTACTATAAGCCATACGGTCATCATGTTCATAAAATCGACCACGTCTAGGTATATATTGTGGGTCATTGGTATCATCATCGACAGGTAAAGGTATTTCTGATGAGAATGTTGCTTGCTATGTTTAATTAATGATCAAATATAAAACAAATTACAATTTATAAAATAATAATAGTACTTATTACAATGATGCTATAAGTAAATCTAGGTGTGAGTATATGGCAAGAAATGAGAAATTGGTGATAGAAATGAATATAATTATTAATATTTGACAATATGGACACTGAACAGGATTTAAAAGCACGTTGTATCTGCATGTATTGCCTTCTTAGTATAAACCTACAACATAGCAAATTTGTGTTCAGCAGAGAAAACTATACTTTATTCTGATTTTCATAAAATAGATATCCAAACCAAGATATAGATAGGTACTTAAATAAGTTTTGGAAATCATAAATTTACAATAGGTAAGTATATAAGTAGTATGAATTTGAATTTAGTACTCTGTTTATAACTGACAAAATTAAACATTTCTTAACTGTAGAATGCAATTGGTGTAAAAAATATTGAATTGACCTTTTATTATTCAAACGAATTATAAAATAAAAGGTAACCTAGCTACCTGGTAGACAGACAAGACAAGAAAATGCAAAAATAAAAAATTAACAATTTAATCCTTTCTTACCTCATCCTCATTATCTCCTTGTTCCTCTTCTTCATAGCTTTCATCGTTAACGTTAGCGCTAATGAATGAACGTTCATTTTCATTGTCAGTCAGTTTTTCATCGACATAATATTCATCATCAATATAATCACGAGCGTCTTCATATTCACCACCAACTGTTGAGTTGAGTTCATCAGTCTCTAAAATGTTCTCATTATTTTCATGCATTGAGTTTGTACTTTCTTTTTCAACAACAGAATTTTCATTTTCAGTAGTTATTGTATTTTGTTTAAGTTGCTCATCCAAAATGTCTTCATTTGAATTTTGCTTGACCTCAACTGTGTCTGATATTGTTGTAGAGGCCATAGCTACATTTAAATTGTGTTCGGTAATTACAGAATTACTGGATTCAATAGAGACAGAGTTACTGTCCTCAATTAAAACGGAAACAGGTTTATTGGCCTCAATGGAAACAGACTTACTACTACGATTTACATCAACAACAGACATCAATTTTGTCTCGGGCTCATAGTCGTTTGAGTCCGTACAGTCGAGCGCAGGTATGTCATTGGCTGCAGTAGAGACATTTAACTCTGTTGTCGGGCTTACCAAAGTCTGATCGTTTATGTCTTCTATTGGCAGGACAGTCTTTGTAGTAATGTTATCTTCTTCTTTAACATCAGCAGCAATTTCCATTTTTTTTTTTTTTTTTTTGTCACCTACGGTTTCACGTAATTTAGGCAGTTGTATACCTATACTTAATAGGTATTAGGTACAATAAAATAAATAGGTTGCAAGGTTTCGAAAACGAAGTTTTTCGAGAAATTGAATAAAAGTACGATATCCGCCGCACAGGAGCCCGGATATTATTGTAAATGATAGTCGGTGTCAAAAACGTGAACTAACGTGAAAACGGATATCCGCCGCACAGGAGCCCGGATATTATTGTAATTGACGGCCGGTGACAAAAACGTGGTTGGACGACCGTGAAAACGGCAAATAAAATAAAAAACGAATTACAGGTATCTACTTACGTCGTCCGCGTCGTTCGATCGGTCATCAAAATCCAAGTGCAGTACGTACTATACTTAATGAGTATTGAGTACATATAGCGAAAAAAACTAACGAGGTGTGTATACTGTACACCGTATAATGAAAATGAAACAAAACAACGGTGAGCGCTACGGGAACTAACCACACAGTTATCACGTTCCAACGTAGTTTTTATCGGCATTTTTGGTCGGAGTGATAAAAAAGCATATGGGTTGTGCCCCCTGCCGCCCGAATTCTTACGACCGTAAAAAATCGATTAGGAAATACATAAAAGAACGTCGTAGTTGTTATCGGTGACTCGTTTCTTATCAAGAAACAAAATACAAACAATTACTGATTACAACGTTGATAAGCTGATTTTTTTCTTTGTCTCAGCTCGACGCGTAATGATTATATTTTAATAATAATTAAGAATATTATTATAGTATAATCAAATATTTTGTAAAACCGGATTTTGTCCGTAAGTACCTATGCAAGCAATGATCACTACGAGCGCAACAACAGATAATACTAGCGAATGACCATGTTACGTAGCCAGCGGTTTTACGTCATGTAGGTACCTAGGTATGCGTTTTTCCATGTCCGCGTACGAAAAAAAATAAAAAAATACCGCCGATGTAACTGCAACTAGACTGTAACGCGCCGAATGGATATTTCAATTTTCCTAATCGTTTTGACCGACAGTAGTTATCGTACGCAGACCAGAACCGACGAGCTGCAGACGTAACCGCGGTCGCTGCGGTACACGGACGTCCGTGGAATATTTAAGGGCATTGGAAGCGACGAGTTTCCGTCTTTGTCTTGCGCACGTGAGATATAGGGATTTAGACGCGTTTTAATTCCAGTGTATCGATTGATCAAGTGATGCGATAAGAATTCTGGATACAGATTTGAATTTGTCGTGAAGTCTACTTGAAATCGACTTCCCACTTTTTAAATTTACTTCCTTAAATTCTATAAAAATGCTTACTAATGAAAGCGTAATTGAATAAATGGAATATTTTAATTTTTTGAGAAATTAAAATCAAAAATCAAAAAAGTGAAATAGTCGATCTCAAGTAGACTTCAATACGTAATACAACACGTCTAAAACCCCATATCTTACGTGTGTAAGACAAAGACAGAAACTCGTCGCTTCCAATCCCCGCTTTCAATGTCTGCGTCCGCCGTAGTCTTGGCGGTCTTGCCAAAACATGAACGACGTTATAGTAACGATTTTTATTTTAGCAGCATTCTTTGTTTCGGGCGGCCATAAATTCGAGTCAAACCCGGATTATCGAAAATATTGTTAAATGTCGGCCTGCTCGTCGCAATCGAATGCGGCTCGAGTATTATTCACAAAAATGAAAATTTACTTATTATTACAAATTTTAATTTTTTCCCGGCAGGTATATATTTAAACAAAAAAAAAAAACGACTGACATACTTCGCGCAATGGGTGGGCCACTGTTGTAGGTCAAAAGTCGGTAATGTCATAGAGAGGAATTCAATATATATTTGTGCGCAACGGTGAACCATTGCTAACGAAAAACGATTCTGAGCGGAGTTCGGTTACACATGTTTTAAAAGACCGTAATAATTACGATTTTCGTCAAAATTTGACATTAAAATCCTTATAAAAAAAATTACTAAATTAAACTAAACTTTTTTTTGTTGACCACTAAGTAGGTACAACTTTTAATAAAACTCCTGTTAAATTTTTAAGCATTTCTGTTTGGTCTAACAGCTTATCGACTGAGTACCTACCTACCGAATAAAAACTTCGTAAAAAACTCGTAAAATTTAAATGTCTATAAATAGCTTAAAGATGCTTTAAAAGTTTTGAAAATTTCATCACGTCTAGAAAAGGCAAATACAAGTATTTTGTTTAAATTTTAAGTCTCTACGAACTATTTGAACTGAATTACAGCAAAAACAAAATTAAAAATAATACAATTATTATTTTTGTACATTTTCCCAGTTTTTCCAATTTAATGAAAATTGCTTGAGAAATCAAAAAATAAATCTCCCTTAAGCACCAAATAGATAAAATTCTCTCTCAGAAAAGATGCTACACTTGATACATCAGAATGTAACATTTCTTGTAGAATTTGTGTACACAGTATACGGTATATAAAAAAAATAAATAATAAAAAAATATTTTAAAGCCAATACATTCCTCGCTCCGCTAAAAATCTAAAATGTTTTTTATCGCGTAGAATATAGATTAATAAATGAATAGAAAATCAACAAATATGAATAATGATAAATAAACAAAAAATGTATACTTAATAAATAAAATATAAACGTTAACCCACATTTTTTTTGCGTTGAGGTATTTTTTCGTGTCTATTATTTTAATGAAATTCTTAAAATCTGGTTGCGTTGATGTAAGAACAATAATTCTGTCAGATAATCATCAGTTAACTTTAGCATAAGAGACAAATTGGTTTGTTACAAAAATTAAAATATTTACAACACTTTTTAACACGGGCTATTTTAACAAAAACAATATAATGTATTGGAATTCATTGGATATTTCGTAATTGAATTTACACATAATGTTCAGCGGGGGATTTTAACTTTTTCCTGGGGGGCCATTTTATATTAACTTAAAATATGTTCAATATACAAAAAATATTTACCTAATATTTATTAATTTATTTTGATAGCCTTATACCTATATTATTTCTTTTACACATCTACATAAACGTACCTACATTTTATTCAACAACAGAGTTTAAGTTTAATATTTAAAAATTACAATTCAAAATCAACTGTTCGCTTTGTTTTACTTAATTAGATTAAACATAGTTAGAATGTTTTTAAAGAATTGTTCAAAACTGATTTTGTGATTTGTAAATTTGTGTTATATTCATAGGCAGCAAATAAATGGTTGTGACATGAAACCTTCTACTATACATGAACATTTATGATAATTAATGATATTTAATGATAATTTTTTTAGGTTGTACGGGGTCAATATTTACAATATTCTTATTTGTTGTTGATATTGATATACGATTATAATTATCAAATACACAAATAAATGTTTTAAAAACCTATTTGAATATAATTTATTTTAGTAATTCATAGCAATAAAACGATAAAAGCATTACAAATAAATATTATAATATATTATAATATTCCATTTAGGTCAAAAATAAATAAATAAATCAATTAAATACGATGTTTCAGTTGTTCATTCTTATCGCACAGAAATCGATTAAAAAATCGTTTGAACGTTGGGAAAAAAAGTTTAAGAAACCGCCTTTCTCTTTTAAACATTAAACAAAGCGATAAATAATATGACTAATATGAGTATACCATACAGAGTTTTTCACAAAAACAACCAAGAGTATAATATTATGATAACTACAATAATGTGTTATTTGTAACTAATCACCCGTCCTCTCCCCCCTACCGAAAAAAAATGTCTGTATACGACACTGATCTATGATCTATTAATTTATAATATCCTTAAATACGTATAACGTTCAACCCTTTATTGGGGCCTCGAGGGACTAAAATTTATCTAGGATGAGGCGCTTATAGCTCCCCTAACCTTTACTTAAATACTCTCTTGCGATCGGCCACATATACCTGTTTATAATTCGTTGATCGAATATTCGACACTACACCGATTTCGTTAAATATTTTTGATTCGTGGCTACCTCTAAATTGCGTTTTCCGTACTTAAATCGACAATATAGTAAAATGTAAAATGTGTAGGTATTATAATGTTATTACCTATACCGACGGACCGACAACAGTAACCGAGCAACACGCTTACTTGGGTACCTCTACCTATATACCTATAATCTAATTTTTTTTCGCAGCAAATGTTCTACGTTTCAAAACGCGTGCGAGATAGAAAAAAAAAAAAAATATAGCGACTGAATAAGTTTATAATTTTATTATGATGCAATTCATTATATTTTATAAATAGTTGTATAAGCTATATTGAATATAATATTATGCGCTTATATACCTATGTAGGTAGCAGTTTAAATCGTGTTATCGGCACGCATTTCTCGTTACTACAATGTATACCTCTATGTAGGTATAAAAAAAAAAAAAAAAAAAATGTTTACAGTCGATAAGACGCGTACACGGTGCAATAATTATTTAAACCGCGGCATAATAATTATTTTTATATTATTGCCATAATAAACGTATTGCACGTTTAATAAATTAATAATTTAAAATATTACTGTTCTTATCGAAGACCGTCGTACACGCAAATGTGCCGTTTATCGCCTTCTTTATAAATACCTTCTCCTCCTTTAAAAATACCGATTACCGATGACAACGCGACACGACCTATAGTACCTAATAGGTAATATAAAAATTAACAGCTGACAGCTGTAATAATAACTATTGTAAGAGCTGGGAGAGTATTGTTTATTTTTTCTAATCGAGTAAGAATCGAGTTGAGTATTTTGAATATTGCATCCAGTCCTATTCGAATATTACAGTCACTAGTAATTGGTATTGAAGGCGGTTAACAAAAGCGGTAACGGGAAATTATTAAAGACAAATCAGTGTCGTTATCATAATACTATATAATATACAGAAAACAATAACTATTTATTTTTGTAAATTCTGACGACCAACACGGTATTCGGAAATATTTGGGTTTGAATAAAACAGTTAATTGACAAAGTGGGTACCCTTTACTTAATTTATTATGTACCATTTAATAGTACCTATATAAAAATGAGATTTAACATATAGAACATTCAAAATTACAGTTTTTCCATAAAGTGTTTCGTACAACATAAACACAAATCGCAGGGTATTTAAGGGGGTTTAGTCACCTAGTCATAATTAGTCCCTCCCCAAAAAAACTAAAGATTTATGGTGACCTATAAAATATTTCGACACAAAATATATTTTCGAAAATTATTCGAGCAGAAAAATATTTGATTAGAAAAGTATTTTAGTCGAAAAATAATCTACACGAAAATATAACAGACAAAAATAAAATGCTAGAAAAATATTTTACTATAAAAATTTTTTTTGTCCGAAAATACTGTACACACAAATAAATTTTCGTAAAAAAAATTTATTAGAACCGTGTTTAGTTAGAAAATTAGTTATATTAAATACAAACAGAGCGTGTTGTTGAAAAGGCAAGTCACAGCACGGCTATATATATATTTATATCTATGGTCACAATAAAATTGTAGGTAAATATCGTGGGTAATGAGGACTACGGACGTTCTGATATACAGTACGT